ATCTCCCCCCTCAAAAAATAGGAATATGTCCTATTTCTAAACGTGGTTAGGTAAGTAAATTAATTCTGAAATTATGCCAGAAAATCGAAAGAAAGAGAGAAGAGAAGAAAGGAGTGAAAGGAGAGAGTAATGAGATAAGAAAAAGGAGATAATAGGGAGATATAAGAGAAAGAAAAAGAGAATGAAGAGCGATAAGAAAGGGATAACAAATCAAATATATATGATTTTATTTCCTGTACATTTACCTAACGTCTCTCTAAACAATATGAGCACTACATTAAAGCAACACCCTAAGAATTTCCTTTAAAAAGCTAAATAAAAAAATGTAAACAAAACACACGTGGTTGGGTGACGTCACGTGGTTGGGTGATGTCAAGTGGTTGGGTGACGTCACGTGGTTGGGTGATGTCACGTGGTTGGGTGACGTCACGTGGTTGGTAGGTGAAGTCTGATCGAGGTGACGCTGGCTGGTGACCTCTAGCGGCGTCTGACTGAAGTAACACAACCATGCCTATAGAGACACATGGTACGTATGTATATTACTTGGTTAGGTTAGGTTAGGGTAAAGATACGTTAGATTAGGATAGGTAAAGATAGGTAGGTTAGGATAGGTTTAGATTAGGATAGGATAGATTTGGTTAGGTTAGGTTACTATTCTTACCTAACTTAAGTTAATCTAACCAATTAACCTTACCTAACCTAACCTGACTTAATCTAACATAAATTAACCGAATGCTAACCTAACTTAATCTAACCTAACCTGACCCCGGATAGCGTTCGAGTGTTCATTCAATCAGATGAAATAAAATCAACGTTGCAGGATTGATCAATATTGCATAAATTAATCAACTTTGTATAGAATGAGCAAAGAGTGTATGGATTTGATCAACACTGTATGGTATAGGTAGAATTGTTTCCCCCCTCCCCCCCCCCTCACCTTCTCTACCTGTAAGGAAAACATAAACAGCTTCAGAGGTAAAACAATCATCAAACGACTGCTGGCACATAAAATGACCCTGAATGATGAAGGACCCTGGATGATGAAGGCGACCCTGATGATGAAGAATCCTGGATGATGAAGGACCCTGGATGATGAAGGACCTTGGGTGATGGAAGGACCCTGGATGATGAAGGACCCCTGATGATGAAGGACCCTGGATGATGAAGGACCTTGACCTGGATGATGAACCCTGGATGATGAAGGACCTGGATGATGAAGGACCCTGGATGATGAAGGACCTTGGATGATGGATGATATGGATGATGAAGGACCCTGGATGATGAAGATGACCCTGGATGAAGGACCTTGGAATGATAAAGGACCCTGGATGATGAAGGACCCTGGATGAAGGACCTGGATGAAGGACCCTGGATGATGATGAAGGGACCTTGGATGAAGGACCTTGGATGATGAAGGACCCTGGATGATGAAGGACCCTGGATGATGAAGAACCCTGGATGAAGGACCCTGGATGATGAATGACCGGATGATGAATGACCCTGGATGATGAATGACCCTGGATGATGAAGGAACAGATGAAGGACCCTGGATGATGAAGAAGGACCCTGGATGATGAAGGACCCTGGATGATGAAGGACCTTGGATGATGAAGGACCCTGGATGATGAAGGACCCTGGATGATGAAGGACCTTGGATGATGAAGGACCCTGGATGACGAAGGACCCTGGATGAAAGGACCCTAAGATGATGAATGACCTGGATGATGAAGGACCCTGGATGATGAAGGACCCTGGATGATGAAACGACCCTGGATGATGAAGGCGACCCTGGATGATGAAGGACCCTGGATGATGAAGGACCCTGGATGATGAAGGACCCTGGATGATGAAGGACCCTGGATGATGAAGTGACCCTGGATGATGAAGGACCCTGATGAGGACCCTGGATGATGAAGGACCCTTGATGATGAAGAAGGACCCTGGATGAAGGACCCTGGATGATGAAGGACCCTGGATGATGAAGGACCTGATGATGATGAAGGACCCTGGATGATGAAGGACCCTGGATGATGAAGGACCTTGGCTGGATGAAGAGGAAAAGGCACCGCTTGTACAAACATTTTAACCTGGAGTGGGGGGAGGAGAGGGGGGAGGGGAGAGGAGGGGAGACGAAGGGGAAGGGGAAGGGATGGAGGGGAGAGGATGGAGAGGGGATAGGGAGGAGAGGGGAGGAGAGGGGAGACGAGGGGAGAGGGGTATCCTTATACCTAAAACCAATCTCCTGAAAACGTCGTAAATTGGGGACTGATAACATACAGTGTCCAACCAAACGTTTATCCTCACATCTGAAGAAAGAAAGAAAGAAAGAAGAAAGAAGAAGAAGAAAGAAGAAGAAAGAAGACCTTTTTGTGGAGAAAGTATGTATGCATCAAACTCAACACGTGGAGGAACTAATGATCATACACAAGGTAATTTACACGTAAGAACTGATACCAATAAATAAAGGTAAATAAAGGTGAATTATGTCTATAAATTACTTACTTTTGAGGACACACCTGTACAGCAACATACCTGTACAGCCCCTTAGGAAACAAACACTACATTTTTTTTATTTCATATCATAGACAAAGATTAATATATCACTTGTATGTACAGTACTTACAACTTAAAAATATCTTCACAGGTAATTATTCAGGTAGGATTTGGAATTGATTACACCTGTACCTGCATATTATCTAATTATCATGATGGTTAGGTGTTATTAATTACACATTATTCTAATATAATATAAAATCAATTCACTAAGCATTAATACTATTTCTATATGAGCTATATATCACATCCGTACATACTACAGTACAGTTTCTTGGAGCAGTGTCATATGTTTTCCATCTATCATTTTGCACCATATTTGGACACCATTATAACGACATAATATTTATTTACAATACTGTTATAAAATCATTTACATAATACCTATATATAATACTTTTTTATACTATGCATATACAGTACAGTACAATAAACTTAAGTATATTATTTCAGTGTGTATTTATAATATGTACACACAGACATACATACATTTACTGCAAAACGGTATAAATCCCAAGTTAAAATGTTTACAGATGTTAAGTATAATAAACATACCTCAGACAGCTTTGTGGGCAGGTGAAGAACCTTGGTAAACATTTAAAACCTTAATTATATCCCAGATACCTTTTAACTTATAAGCGACTGGATCTATATTCTCCAATAAACAATTAAAGTTTCTTAGCCACTACGTTTGTTGATGTTGTTTTATTCTTTTTGTGTGTAAGTGATAGTCTCTTTGGTCCCAGTGTTCGTACATCTTGGTGCACACACGGTCACATGATCATCCCTAGGAGTTCGCTAATTAAGTCAACATTTTTTTTCGGGGGGGGGGACTACCCTCGGTCGAATCTACTTATTATTTACCTTTGTTTGTTCACCTGTACTGTCTAGGTAGTACATTGTTTGTATACTTAAACTGTCTCGAGTACATTATAAACATTCACTGTGTATAAACATTATTTGTATACCTGAACTATGGATGTTGTATACTTGCACTATGTACATTATATACCTTAACTGTGTATGTGGCATTGTTTGTTCACCTGCACTGCCTATGTATAGTTGGGGGGACATGTCCAAAACATATAGTCACCAGCTCTCCATGAACTGCGTGAATCTGAACCAACAGACAGACATTCAGATTTATTTTCGTGGTAACAGTGTAGATGGTGGTATAGGGTGATGGCTGTCTGAGGGAGGAGGAGGTGCTTGAGGCAATACCTTGTGTGCTTTAGTTGTCATATCTTGCCGAGTGAGGGTGAATATGGTTTAGGAATAGGGGTTAGTGCTTGTAATGAATGATCTATCTCTAAAATTAGCAGCATAAATGTTAAGCTGGTAATAATTAAGTCTAAAACAGCTAACAGTACATACATAGTACAGTTGGCCCTCGTGTAACGAGGATGGCCGGCCCTATGGCCACCTAGGCGTGAATTTGTTTAAGGTGTAGAAGCTGTCAACACGACAACCACACCCTAAGTTAACGAGCTGCATGACCCAGTGTCAAAGAATAGTCCGAGAAGACCGGACAACTCCACTGGCTAACCATTACCCCGAAACACGATCCGCAAATCGATTAACATTCAGGTACCCAATTACTGCTGGGTAGACAGAGGTAAATGGCGTAAAGAAACTTGACCATAGTTTCACCCTGCCCGGGGATCGAACCCGGGTTCACTCGTTTGCGAGGCGAGCATGTTGACCATTAGACCACAGGTGCATGCATACTTACAAACATACCCATTCATTCTAATTATGTACCCAGTGTGACAGCCATGTATAATAAAGTTTAAAACGGCTAACATACACACATACCCATTCACAATATGTACCCAGTATCACCGCCACATACGAACATAAGAACATAAGAATGGAGGAAACTGCAGCGGGCCTGTTGGCCCATACTGAACAGTCCCGTTTACACCCAACCCCTATCGCTCATATATCCATCCAACCTATGTTTGAAGTTATCCAACTCATCTGCATAAAGATCAAATTAGACACTTTGTAAATACAGTTCATATTTAAACTTATCCCTGACCTCATTCATTCCTTTTTTTAATTTGTTATAATATTCACCCATAAGCCACTTGCCCTACTGTACATACTGTATAGAACAGGTCAGGTCACCTTCTCTACACTGCATCATTCAGCCCAATTTTACCCGAGTGGTTTGTTAATCCTATACTATATAATTATATTCTATGCTCCACTCAAGCCTTTAAATGGAACGTTTTCTCTCACAGTGGATAAGAGAACGTTTGTTTCCATGTTGTCAAATGTTGTGTGGAACATTTTTCTTTTAGTGGAACATTTGTTTGGTTACTGTCAATGTCATGTGTGATAAACAGTACACAAAAGATGGTTTGTTTACACCACTCAATCTCCTGTGTTTGTGTGATCAATAAACAAGGCGGAAGTATTTATATAGTTATGAACACTTCTAATAATTACAAATTCTTTATTATATAGGAACAGCCACAAGTACAGGTACAGTAATAACTATATAGACAATCATTGAGCATTTGGCATGATAAATGGAATCGTTGGGTTAGGTTAGGTTGGGCTGGGTTGGGTTGGATTAGGTTACGTTACCTTACTTTGGGTTAGGTTAGGTCAGGATAAGTACTAAGTTAATTTGGGTTAGGCCCGGGTAAGTTTGGTTAGATTTGGCCAGGATAGGTTAGGTCAGGTTGGGTTCGGTTACGTCCATATAAATTGCAGTAGGTTAGCTAACTGCCTCAAGTATACGCCGAGATCTAAAATAGGCGTGAATAATGGCATCAAAACATCGCAGAGACTCTAGTACTCAGAGGCGTTCTCCCACCCTCAAGGTAAAGTAGCTAAAACAACTATTCGTGCAGGTGGAGGTCGATATGCTCCGAGATTTTATGGAGTGACTAGTGACAACCCTCGTGAACCAAAAATTATCGTCCATGGTTTCATATTGTTTCCCACAAAGTATGCACAGAGAGTTGTTAAGTATGTACAGACAATCACATCGAGAGCTCCTGGTACAGATTGCTGTTGTCTTTTTTCTTCATTGTCATTGGTAAAATCTGATGACTCAGATTCATAGTTCAGAAGTAAATTTATATATAATGATGTAACTTCCCCAAAAAATGACAAGAACGACGGAAAATTTATTGGTATGACATGAAAATTGACACCGTGAGCAGTTGGTAAGCATGTATACTGACATGACACTTCTACACAGGTTATCGTAAAGTGGTCTTGACACATGACACTGTTCGTTAAGTAGTCGGAAATTTAATTGATTTGACATGACATTGACACACTCTCACCTCAACACCAACCCCATTCAGCATTCTTGTCCTCACGTAAGGCTGTCATCAGAGAGCTGCCATGGACTATCATTGGTGGCTATTAGGGATGTCACGTAATCCCCCAAATTATTCAGAAATTTCATGTAAACCCTAATTGTGTTTTCAGGATTTTTTTTATAGTCACTGCAGCCATCAGGTAAACTCAAGTCCCTGGTTACATTTTAGGGATTACATTAAATCCCTAGTTCCACTTTTTTCTTGAGGGATTACTTAAAATCCCTAGTTACCCACAATTCCTCTTAACGGCTACACTGTCCATGTAGCTATACAGTCAACTACTAAAGTCCGTTCACCTCTCCCCCCTGAGCTACGAACTCCGAAATTCAGACTCACAAATCAGAAACATTTATGGGCAGAATAATGTATCAGTCTACTGCTTCGGGTTCACGAGTCTGAATCTCAGGGGGTCGTGGTTCAGGGGGGAGAGAAGCGAACGGACCTCAGTATAGTTGACTGTACACTGAACCAATAGGTAATATTTTGTTTGTACATATGTAGCTTAAACTAACTATCTAACTATATACATTCATCCATCTATCACTGTATTTCCAACCTCTTTTGCGTGAGGATTCTCTGTATCTGCAGTTGGACCTCAAGCGCCGCCCTAAGAGGCATGGCTCTCAACTGGGAGGCCACGTTCATACCAAAAAGATGAAACTCGTTTACTTGATCTCCTCTACTGTACGGGACACTAGACGAGGTGGTAGGGACGGGTTCCGTTAAATCTGGACACTGTTTAATAATGCCTTCGCCTCCGCCGTTGTCGTTAGTGAGGTGGTCATTCGGGGGAGAGTGCTGCTGGGGGGACTGCTGCTGCTGCTGTTGTTGTAACGAGTCTAGATCCAACAAGCTGACCAGCCCAGTATCGTCCTCCACATATACGGTCTCAGGGTCAAACTCTTCATATTTGATATCAGGTTTGATTTCTTCGCCTTCGCTGTTTTCTTCTTTTTCCAATTTCTCGTGGAGTTCGTTTACATTCCCCTTGATAGAGTTGTTCTGAAAAGAGAGTGATGAAGGGTGTTACAAGTTAATATACTGGTAACTACTACTAGGGTGTTACAAGTTAATATACTGGTAACTACTACTAGGGTGTTACAAGTAAATATACTGGTAACTACTACTAGGGCGTTACAAGTTAATATCACAACTATCACTATTACTACCATGTGTAAGTAACCATATTGGGTATAGTTTATAAGCACCACCAACAGTCGAGACAAATTTTATAACTCTACCTATAACGAAAACTTTAGAACTACATGAATATATGAATAAAACTAACGGTATATAATAATTCTGATATCAAGTGCACTATAGCGTCTAATTCTACTCCATGGACAAAATTATACTCGAAAATGGACGTATTAACCTTCAAATTCCCTGTAAACATAAAGTATGCCAATTTTTTTCAATCATCCCTGTCACTCGTCTGCTCCAAGCCTAGGTGGCCTTACTGGTATTATTACACCTTTACAACATCAGTAAATTACCATACAGTACAATACTATACCCTCTCAATAACAGACTTCCAATTACTTAGTTATTCTAATTAACAGAATTCTCCGATTTTGGGGAAGGTTCACTTTACACTCGCTAACAAAATGTATCTGCAAATTTTTATGCTAGACATCATGACACAACTTACAGATACTTTGTGTAGCGAATGTACGTACATGATTAGTTGTTTTTGTTTGTTTGCGTCAAAAACATCATCTTCGTGTATACAAGTATCAAGGTTAACGACTATAACAAATGACCAGAAAGGAACAAAGAAAAACACCTCAAAAAACAAAAAAGCGACATAGTTTGACTGGTGGTTCATTCGTTTAACAAAATATGACCCGATAACAAGTGTGTACATCAGTTATAAAGGTCAAGTCACAGAGCCCACGCCCATTTGTCCTGACCTTACCTGTAGGGAGGAGGGGGGAGGGGGATTCTTCCTGTAGAGAGGACTGGGGTGGAGAATCGTCTATTAACAATGTTGCACACTGATTCTAGTCCTAAATATTCTCCTCTCATTGGTGAATCTAATAATGTTTAAAAATTTTAAATCGCCCAAGAACTTTTGGAGTTATTTCCAATTTTATGTGAAAATTTTCAGTTTTTAGTTACAAGCCTTTGAAGATTAATAAGTTCAAGGCACCTGGTCCCCTCCTGCTTTCGCAGGATATTAATTGCTGGAATGCAAGGGTGTTCCTGCAGCTGTGCTGTACTCTGGACCTGCAAGTTCGTGGGTGAAGGCTGCTGTGAAGATGGTCCTGGTTGTGGTGAAGACAGTGGTGGTGAGGTGGCAACGTCATGCTGCTTATGTGAGCTGGAAATATTCTTTATTCCTCCATACCGTGCTCTAATATTGACTGCTCCTCTAGCACGGTTCCTCAGTTTCTTATTGGAGACTCTAGGCATCTTCACCAGAAGAAATCGCTGAAGAAACTACGTAATAGCGAAGTAAAAAGCTGTTGAACTCTTGAGATACTGCGACACAGTTGTGCGATGGTCAAGGGGTAGCCCGGCACTAAATTTTTCCCCTCCTACCAGCCAACAGGCTGTAGCTTTTTTTTTTAAGGGGATTAGCCCACCCAGGCACAGGTCACTGACCCACATCAGGGCCTGAGAAACAATGTATGTATGTTGTGTTGTCAATAGTAAGAGAAACAATTGAGATCCTGCAATTGTGTGTAAATGAGGCAGAAAGTCAGATCAGCAACCTGGGACTTGGTCACAATTCTTGTGATGCCATATGGCAGCAGGGTCTACCATTAGACAACACATTATGCTTAATAAAACAAATTATTTATTTTGCTCTGATTATGAAAACAACAGAAAACAAGAATCACGCAAAACCTAACGAGAAAAATGGGATGGGGGGTTTCTTTATGATTTTTTTTATGGTAGAAAATATTAAGGTACATCTTTCATACTTGGCAGCTAAGCTGAAGGCTGCCAGATTTCTGAGATTGTTTTCTTTAGAAAACCCGATTTTTCATAATTTGTCGATCGTTCACAGCTGGATGATCCCTTTAAATTAGGTGCCGTTTCACGTCTACAGTTCAGAGAAAAATTTAAACTTTTCAAATTTTTAGAATCTTTGCAAAACAATCCGAAAGATTTGCTGCAGTCGATGGATGATTTACAACCTAACAATTAAGTTCACTTACTCTCGTCGCCCAATCAATGACATCTATACAAATTTCAGGAATCAATCCACTAAAACTTTTCTCAGCCAAGCTACCAATAGTTGTTAATGAGAATACGCGCTTACAGAGTTGTCGACAAGCAGTAATCTATAAAATACAGAGCGTGCGCGTGTTACTGTGTTAAGAATAAAAAGGGGAGTACAGCATGGATGGTTGCTACTCCTACTTTTCATTTCTTCCCTTTTCTTTAATTTTAGCTGAGATGATGATGAGGGTTGAGGTGCTGGTAACAGTGAAGGAGGGAGGAGGAGCAAAGGTGTCATATGATCAAGGTATAGTGGCAGGCAGACACACCACGAGAACTACAGAAGATGGACAAGTTACAGGAGCTAAAACAGAACATGTGAAGACCACCGTAATGTGTCTCAGTTTAGAGAGAGAGAGAGAGAGAGAGAGAGAGAGAGAAGACCGTACAGTAAAACAAGTGACAAAAGAGTTTAAGTGATGGTAGGGACACAGTTTGCAATATAGATGATAAAAAGTCAAACACATTCAGTAAAGGAGTTCAAATGACATATGTGAAAACACTGCTTTGGAACATTCACTTAGAATTGACTTTTGTTTTGGAGGTTGATGAAAAATAAAAATACTAAGAAAAGAAAATATGTGAATCTGCATTGGAAAGGACGATCTATATAGTGTCAAAAAGAATAGATAGAAGTGACTTGGTTACATGAGATAGGCTGCTGCCGTTTTATGATATGCAGTATAGGCAAGAAGGAATGTATAAGACTTCCAACAAGGAGGAATGATAGAAGATTTGAAGAAAAAAAAAGATGAAGAAAAGAAACAAAAGTAGACAGGTAAGAACATCACCTTAACCAGTCGACCCTTCATTTATTTTATGTAACCGATCGTCACCGAGGCCGTACTTGTCAAGGAAGGACGGCTTTCAACCTACAGCAGGGTGATCGATTCTTCCGATCCAGTCAACGACACAAAAGTTTTTTCATTCGACATATGACGCGGGCAGTCGAGGTCTCAGCTCTCAACCAATGAGCGACGTGTTCCGACTCATCCTACCCAATCAACGAAGCTGATCAACTTTTTCATAGAATTAATGATTCAGGAGTGCATGTCAGGAGCTATACTCAGCCAATAAGCACCGTGATTCGCTCTCCCCAACCAATCAACGAGGGAAATGAAGTTTTTCGTCCAGTCATCATCGGGGACGCGTATACCTCGAGGAAGCTAGACTGCGGTTCACGGGACACCAGAAGCCGAGCCCCAAAGACGTCTTCAAGAGTAGCATGATCTGACTGTGTGTGACCGCTCCTAAAAGTTATATCTAATCACCTCCAGAAGGTTCGTTTTTTTTCTAATTTCTGCATCACAACAATGAATTCAGATCCAACAGGAAAGCCACTGTTACAGACAATTAAATATACATTAGTTACCACCACAGGCACATGTACAATGAAACACAAGTATACGAAAACAGACACGTAGCTGCCAAGTACATTCACGGGTCTGGGAACAAGTGCAGACACACGTATACGGGTACAGGCGTATGCTGAAAATACACGTCAAGTTACAGTAATTACAGAATTCCTCTCCTCTCTCGTTGTGTGTGTGTGTGTGTGTGTGAGATATCTCCCTTCTGTTCTTCGTAGCTCCAAATGAATTTTCTCTCGGAATAATGTATTTCCTTTTCAACGTATCGTCAGGTTCTTGTTTAAATACTCAAGATACATCAGTGGTCTGCTGTAGATAACGCCAATCATTATTAGGAGAACCATACCAGCTGATAATCTCATATCGTGTTGGCGTCCACAGCTAACTTCCGTAGTTGGGTGTCCGATTTACGTCTCGTGGGATCTACGCTACTCCGATGTCTCGTTCTAGGTGACCTTGTGTCTGACGTCCTCGCTGGGGGAGAGTCTTATGTTTCATTACAGGTCATATCTTGAGTCCTTGTGGCGTACGTTAGGTCCTCTTGTCTCGTCTTCAGTGGCTTCTCACGTCCTCGTAGGGGTCTTCAGTAATCTCGCGTTCTTATGGGTTCCTCATTGACTTCGTGTCTATAGCCACAACAGCCTCATGTCTGGTCCTCCGTGGTTTCATGTCTAATACTGAGTGGCCTCGCAACAGCCTGTATCTCGCGTCCTCGAGGGAGTGAGGGGAGAGGGGGGGGGAGGGCGATGAAGCTTCTTGCGGACTCCCAACTTTCCACCCTTCGTCTTCCTTCCAGAATGTTGAGCGCTGTTCCCTCAAATTCGGAGTCTCTCTCTTCCTGGGAGAAAAAAAAATACCGTTGGATCAAACGTTCTTGGCGCTCATTGGCTGGCATGACGTGACCCCGCTCTCTGATTGGCTAAACGTCCTTCATGGCGGTTGAGCGCGGTTTAAAATTTCGTTCAGGAGTAATTTGTGGAGGTTAAGACTTTGGTGTTGTTGTTTTTGACTCCCAATTGTCTCGCTCAAGTTAATGTGCTACTGTAAAAAACGGGGCTCAAACTAAAGCCTCTCGTTCTTTCATCTCGATCTCCGTTGATGATTAGTGGATTAACTAACCTAGAATACTCACTTAAAGGCCCGAGTTGCTTTAGCTCAGTGATTCACTATAAATGTTGACCTGAAGTCTGTTGTCTACCTCTTTGTTAAGTAATTTGTTATTAACGGTCATTCACTACAAATATTAGCTTTTTAAAGTTGTTAAGGAAGAAACCAAACTGAGTCAGTGTTGCCAAAATTGTTTTTCGTAGTATTGTAAGAACCATAAGGCTTCCTTTGACTTCTTATAAATACATAAATGCCCAGGTCTGTGTGTCTTTGTAAGCTGTACAAATTAGATCA